CCCTAAACCCCTAGACCCCTGAAGCCCTAAGCTCCTAAACCCCTGAAACATCCTGAAACCTAAACCCCTAAACGCCTAAACCCCTAATCCCTAAACCCCTAAAACCCTAAACCCCTAAACCCCTAAACCCTAAACCCCTAAACCCTAAACCCCTGAAACATCCTGAAACCTCCTGAAACCTCCTGAAACCTGAGATCTCCAAAGCCTCTTCCTGTCTCGGAAGGCTCTGCCTTGGACACGGCAGCCGCGGCTGCGGGCTCCATGTCGCGCCGGCGCGGGGGACCTGTTTTGAGCGCCCAAAAGGGAGAGTTTCTGTAGGATCCAAGATAGCATGGCTAGAGTAGGGTTTGGGGATATAGCACAGTTATTAGGGGAACCCTAAGCATAATGTTTGGCTTCTATAAGCTGTCTCAATGGCTTCCGTGACTGAGGAACTACTTTATTTTTTGGAGTACAAGCTTACAAGCTTTGAGGCGGTGCTGTACGGTGTTTATGAGGCTTTTGAAACAAGCTCCACAAGTCACTTCCCCCCCGCACCCTCCAAGGAAGTGGCATTAGAGAAAGAAGCTGCTTGGCTTGAGTGTGTAACAAAAAACTACTCCCTTTTTGTAGCATCCACAAACTTACCCCGGTAGCCAAAACCTGTTGAAATCGACAGGAATCCTACCAAAGCAGCAGCAGGGTAGTTTTCTACCCTTCGGGGGGTCCTTTTTTATAAGGGTGCCGTACTATGTTGGGGACCCAACAAGAAACCCTACTGTTGATGATACAAATCCTGCATTACTTTAAGGACCCTAAACTATGGGCATTATGGTACATTCCTTATTATGGGTAATGCAGGTTTTATATCATCAACCGTAGTTTAGAAAACTACACGGCAGGTCCTGGGCCCACAAAAGGGTCCGACTGCCTGGCCTCCAAAGAATCAGTAGGGTTTAGGGTTTAGGGTTTCGGGTTTTAAATGTCGAAGCGCCCCGAACCCTACCAAGCCACCAGCACCAACGCCTTCGAACAGCGGCCCCCCCCCCCTTCTAAACTCCCCTAAACCCCACACCCCCCCCCCCTCTCAACCCTCAACCCTGAACCCTAAACCCTCAACCCCAAACCCTAAACCCTCAACTCTAACCCCTCAACTTTACACCCTCAACCCTAAACCCTAAACTCCCCAAACCCTCAACCCTGAACCCGCACCCGGCCTGTGCAGTGTGCCTGGAGGTCCCGTGGGCCCAGGACCCCGTCGCCGTCGACGTCCAGGAAAGCGAAAGCCAAGCGGAGCGCGTCGGGCCAGGCCTCTGAGATCTGGGCTTTTAGGATTTTTTTTGGTTTAGAATTTAGGGCTTTTAGGGTTTAGGGTTTAGGGTTCTGGGTTTTTAGGACTTGTTGGGTTTCTTCTGTTGAGGGGGTTAGGCTTTGGGGTTTAGGGTCTAGGCCTCTGAGATCTGGGGTGTTTTTGGAACTTCTGGGGTTTAGGCTTTAAGCTTTATACAGGACTTTTTGGGTTTGGGGCTTTAGGGTTTAGGGTTTAGGACTTTTTAGGGTTTAGGGTCTAGGGCTTTAGGGTTTTTGGCTTTTAGGGTTTAGGGTTTAGGGCCTCAGGGTTTAGGGTTTAGGACGCTTTGGGTTCAGGCTTTAGGCTTTAGGCTTGTGGGTTTAAGGTTTAGGGTTTAGATTCTTTGTAATTAGGGCTTTGATATGTACGGGGTGTCATAAGCTTGGAAAGGTTTCATGAGTGTTTTCTGTGTGGCTTTGACGGTTTCACACAGGTTTGCTGCGTTGTCTCCACAGTCCAAGGGTTACCAATGGTCCATATCATTGGGCAGTTCTCTAGATCAGGGTCTCTTGTTTGGTCCCCAGTATTAGTACGGCACCCCTGCAAAGCGGATCCCTAAAAGGGACCCTACTTTAGAGAACTACCCCATATAATGTAGGAGCCTGAATAATTAGAATAGGGTTTTGGGTGCCATTATACTATGTACCCATAATAAAGGAACCCCCAAAATAGTATGGGTAGTTATTCAAGCCCCTATAGTAATCGAGGAATCTGCTTTGCTGCTTCTTGTGAAGCACATGGTGACAAACCAGGGGTTTCAAGGAGCCCAAGGGCTTCTGGACTTTTAGGGCTTAGGGTATAGGGCTTCGGGTTCAGGGTGCAGGGTGTAGTGTTTATGGTTTAGAGTTTAGGGCTTAGGGTTTAGGGTGTATGGTTCAGGGTTTACGGTTTACGGCTTAGGGCTCAGAAGAAGTGAAGAAGTTAAGGAGGCTTTCTGGGTTCAAGGGCTTCTCTTGGCCACTTACATCGCCTCCTCCCAGACACCGCCACTTCATCACGTCACGGTAGCACAAGTCCGTGGGATCATGTGCCACAGAGGCCCGCGCAGGACCTCAAACCCTACTCATCCCTAAACCCTAATAAACCCTAAACCCTAAACCCTCATACACCCTAACAAACCCTAACAAACCCTACACCCTAAACC